AGAGGAATGGAGATGATGATTATAGAGAAGAATGGAGATGATGATCATGGAGAGGAATGGAGATGATGATTATGGAGAGGAGTAAGAGGTTCTTTGAATTGTAAAGGAAGATCTAGATCCTAATGGTAATTTTAAAGAATAGCATGCAAGAGCTCAAGTTTGCCTCATAATTAAGACTTTTTTTAAATAAATATTTTAGTTTTCTGCGTTAATTTACAAACAACCAAACATGCCGCACACCATACAAAGCTACATTAATTGTCTAATTTATAAAAATAATTGTAAAAAAAAAGAAAAAAATATGTAAAACCAAACCTCCTTATGAAAGAAGAGAGAAAAGAATGGTATTTTCTGGGTGAACGATCTACAAATGAGCCATATTTTTATAAGATCACGCCTCTTAACACACAAAATATAATGTACAAACTGCTACATCATCAACATGAATACGTTTAAGCTATATATAAAGTAATGTATTCTCGGTGTTGTATGGTTTATGACACTCCCAATCTTTGTATAATTATCTTATTATTATTAGATAATATTTTCGTCCTTGAATAATTTATTACGGTTAAGAAAAGAAAAAAATATATAGTTTATAAAGAAAAATCTTAATTGACGAGACGTCATTTTTATGTTTTGAGCGCATTAGATTTCAATTCATTTCTTATTTTTTTTTTTTTTAATTAATTAAAGCTTCACCATTTTACTACAGTTTATATAAATATATTTTGTATGTTTTCTAACTACAAAATCTTTATTATAACTCTTCTTATTCACAGTACAAGAACACAAGATTATGTCATACAATCGATTTTTTTAAGACCTTCTCTATTTAAATGCGTAAAATTATTTAAAAAGTAGTACCTAAATATGTTAGATTACTAAAAAATTCCTTCACAAATGCATAAAATGGTTAAAAAGTCCCTCTTGTGTAACTAAAGCCCCTTGTAAGCACGTAAAATGGCTGAAATGTTTCCCTCTTAAATATGTGAAATGGCTTTGAAAAATTGCCCCAAAAATATGCGAAACTGCTGAGGGAAAATTGCCCCAAAAAATACGCGGACTGCTTTGAAAAATTTCCCCAAAAATATGTGAAACTGCTCGAGGAAAATTGCCCCAAAAAATACGCGGACTGCTTTGAAAAATTTCCCCAAAAATATGTGAAACTGCTCGAGGAAAATTGCCCCAAAAAATACGCGGACTGCTTTGAAAAATTGCCCAAAAAATACGCAGACTGCTTTGAAAAATTGCCCAAAACATCTGAAATTGCTCTGAAAATTGCCCCAAAAATATGTGAAACTGCTTGAAAAGTCCCGAAACAAGTAAAATGACTGAAAACTTCCCTCTTAATCATGTAAAACGACCAAGAAAATCCCCTTCCTCCACAAGAACCTGTGAAAAACGATGGACTTCGCTATAAGATCTTGTGTTAAGGATTAATCTAGTGTGCCACGGATATTTTATTCATTATTTTTATGCCGATTTCCTTATTTACAAAAGAGTATTTAAATAGTACGAGTTTACTGAATATTTTTTTCCTCGTCATTACTTGTAACTTGATGCATAAAATCTGCAAACTCGCTGCAAGAATGGAGTATTCATTAGTTTTTATACCAAGCGGCTCTTTCAAAGACACAGAAGAAACCCGAGAATATAACAGAAAATATACTTTATATTCTTCAAAATTATTAATAAAATATACGAATTAAAGCAAAAAATATCCAAGGAATAATTAATTTTTCATTTGAATAAATCAGCGGTGTGCCTGCAGCTAGTGAGGTGTGAATAACCTCGTGTTTATCTCTTGCAAATTAATTTTTCTCTACTTTTTTTGTGGAAGATTGCAAATAAAAAAAAATACACAAATTAGTTCTTCTTATTTAAGAAATAATTTCCTATATCCTGTACGCGGAGGGGATGGTCTTAATTACGATTAATTTTAATCAAGATGTTGGGGGTGGTTTTTCGTTGGAGCGGCACTCGGTGTCGGATTTACACGCTATATACGCAAGCTACAGTTTTAGGGCCTCTTCCTGTGAAGTCGAAAGCTTAATACGGCCTTCGAGACGTATCAATCTACGGTAGGGCCCTTAGGCTTTGCGTATTAAGGACCCCTCCGGCACTTCAATCTTTCACACTCACTACAGATGACATCGCACGACGTTTTTTTCACGTCTTTCCGAGCTGTAGGGCCTGGTTTTAAGGCCTAGTGTGCCTAATGGTTAAAACCGATCTGGTACCCTTCCTTGAAGGCATACAAGGATCGGGGAATTTTCCTACGAGGGCACGGATTAGGGCCTCTTCCTAATGAGGATACAGTTTAGGGCCTGACGCTTTTAAATTTATTATTATTTAATGGAGGGATAGACTAAAAATTTAAACCGACATTTAGATGAAAATGGGAGGTAAAAATCAATTTTTAAAATGACATTTTCACTTTTTTTATGTATTTCAACCAATAAAAAACCAGATTACATTTGTAGATAAGCCGCATCATTCACACTTCATCCTTTGTGTTATGACGTAAAGTCATTTGTATTCACGTCACGAAACCGTTTAGAATCGTTTGTCACGCCCAATTTTTTTAAAAATTTTGACCATAAAATGAAGCGACGATGAGATTCGACCCATTGGCACATTACTGTAAGGAATTTGTGTTCCTTGAACTGTACACTCGACATATCCTTGATGTGTTAAGGAAACGTTCTGCTCCTATCTAATCCAAGCAGGCGTGAAAAATCGACCTAGAAAAGGTCCTGCTTACTCTTTACTGTTTCTGTGTACGGGTTTTAATGTATAAAATTAGTTACAGCTACTTTCATGCCGTAAAAATTTACATTCAACATCGAGCAAACAGGATGCATTTCCTAGTTTTTGTGGAAAATACCGGGAAGTGGAGAAAAATTGCACGCGTTTACAAGGTTATAAGCAAATTTTACGCTTTAAAATACAATTTTCTGCTGCCGAAATGTATTATTTAATTGCTGATGCCCTCTTTTAATCCCTCACCACACATACTACCTATTATTTAACGAATTTGGCCCATAATTTAAATTATTTACCCCTTAAAAATACTATTTTATGAACCTAAAGAGTATTATTTAATTGATGATGCTCCCATTTATTCCCTCACCGCACGAGCTACCTCAATATTTAGTCCATGATACCCCATTGGTTTAGGTATTAACTTGGAATCATCATCATCATGAAGGGAATTCTGTACATAAAGTATAATAGTATCGAGCTGGAAGGGGGGAATAAATTTTGGTAAAATGATACACCCGGAAGATGCGTAACAGGAAAGGAAGTTATTTATGCCCGAGGCCAATCGGTTCCGGTTAGTTTCTATAATTTTAAAGAACCGGTATTTATGGTATTGGGCCTTTTAAATCGATTAAAAAACCCAACTAGATCGGACAATTTATCATTGATCTGTTTAACCTGCTATTATATAATAATACCGTTCCACATATTCTCCTCCTGGTTACCCTGAATTGTTCAGTTGCTGCTCGATTTTTCGGGAATTTTTTTTGGGGGGGGTGAAGGGTTTATTTTAAGGTTAGGTAAATTGTTAAATATTTGGCAAAAGATAGAAGAAATAATATTTTATTTGTTAATTTTTTTTTATTTTTTTATTTAGTTGCATAAAAATGGTAAAGCGTTTACTGGTCTTTGGCAAAAACGGTGGTTAATTGTAATGGGTTAAATGTGGAATGGATTAAAATAATGGTTAAAAATAGTATGGAAAATAATTTGATGCATAAAAATGGTGGTAAAATTGGATGAAGAAGGGTTCAGTGAAATGAAATGGAGGTAAAGTTGGGTGAGGGAAGGGTTTAGCGCAATAAAATGGTGGTAAAATTGAGTGAGGGAAGAGTTTGGTACAGTGAAATGGAGGTAAAGTTGGGTGAGGGAAGGATTTAGTGCAATGAAATGGTGGTAAAATTGGGTGAGAAAAGGGTTTGGTGCAATAAAATGATGGCAGAAATGAACGAGGGGAGTTTAGTGCAAAATTTAGTGAAGGGAAGGCTTTAATGAGGCAAAATTGTGGTAAAAAATTAGCGGGGAAAGCCTTTAGATGCGAAATGAGCGGAAAAAAAGCTTTAGTGGTTACAAAATGATGGAAAAACTTTACGTAAGAATTTACTGAGGTAAAATAGTAATAAAAAATAATTGCAGAAAATTTTTAGTATTGAAAACAGAGGCAAGAATCAGAGAAGAAGAAAAAAATCAGCCATACGGCAACAATTAGAGGAAAAGAGTTTAGTGGCACAAAACAGTGGTAAATATTTAATGAAGAAAAAAGTTACGGATAAAGAGCCAAAGTATTGAGATCAGTGACGTAAAAAACGTAACATAAAACGTCTTAAAAAAAGATTTCGCTAGCAAAACAACGGTTAAAAACATAAAAAAATGAATAAATTAAGCTCGCTCCTCTTGGAAATTGAAGAAGAAAAAAATGGCCGCACATCAGATTATTCAAAAATATAATTAGAAACGGGCGAAACGGGATTAAATGGGTCAAATTTAATTATTTTATATCGCTCGTGATAACATTTAATGTAGAAATATTAAAATTATAGAGATTCTAGAGCGTTACTCTACTTAGAAACTACTTAATTACACGTTTTTTTACCATTTTATTGTATAAATTCTACACCAACCAAGTTAACTAATTTATGTATGTCTTCGGAAAGACACAATTCATTTTTTTAATACCCAAATTAAACATAATTAAGTTTGTCCTTGCGACAATTCGGTAGAATGTTGTTCCACATACTTCTACACATTTACTTAATTGTATAAAGAGATTCGTCTTCATCAACATGGATTGCAACACCCAATTCTTCTATTGTTTTTAATTGTTTTCTGATAGAAGATTTGCCCCCTTAAATTGCAAATTCACCGGAAACTAATGGCGTAAAGGGGGTATTAAAATACATTTTAATTACAATTATTACGCTAATGATGATGATAAAGAATCGTTTATTACTTACGAATCTAGACGAGGGTTCCGATCTGAAACGTCATTCACCACATCACACGGCCCTTGTGTATACACGGCAGCAGCGACACATGTGTCGGGTCACAACGAATGGTTCGCTGCAAGTAGTCTCCTCTTTCTAACTGAACGTTCAGCTCGCATCAAAGACCTGTTGCTAGTATTGTGACGTCACTAAACGATGCACTAAACAAGCTTCACGCGGTTTTTTAGAACGTAATTTCTCCTCCAATGGCGATTTTTTACAGATTAAACTGGTAACAAGCGGTAAAAAAAATGGGCTAAAAATAGTACGGGGGCATAAATCTTGGGGGTGGAAATAGGGATATAAACAATGGCAACTTTTTATTAATATAAACTTACATACACGTAAAACTTCTTTGTGGTGTGTATGTATTAGGGCCTTCCGTAAGAATTATAAGCCTCGGTATTGTAACTAGGGCCTATATTAGAAGGCCCGAATACGAAATTCGCTGCGGTAAAGGAGAATACACCTACACTCACCCCCTGTACCATTATGGATTTAGACTCTAGTCGTGTTGCAGTATTGTATCAATATATTTTTCTTATACTTGAATTGTTTTCTTAATTTCTTTATTTACAACAGTAAGGGCCCGTGAGCTCTCGGTATGAGTTCATAGTGTAAGGGGCGCGAAGTGGCACGAGAATAATGCCCGTGAGCTCTCACTACGAGTGGTTGAAGGGCACGAGGAGACGTGGGAATAACGCCCCATGAACTCTCACTTCGAGTTTACAGTGTAAGGGGCCCATGAGCTCACAATAAGAGCTCATGGGCGGTTAGAGACAGTGGTAGCGCGTCATAGCTTCACGGGACTCATACGAATTTGAATTAGGGGGCCCACGTACAGTGTACTTCCTTATAAAAGATTGGTTCGGGGGCAATTGCCGTTTTTGCCCAAAAGATAACGCGCCACTGATTAGAGAAAGACGCGTCTTGAGGCCCGTATTGACGTAACCCCTTCGCCATTGCCCCTGTAAGTGATCATACTCATGAAAAAAGTAAAGAAAAACTCTCATAGCATGACTAAAAGATATTTATTTACCTTACTCCTTATCGTGACGTCAGATCTTGTTGCCTTAACCGCTGTTTATTTTCTTCTTTCCCCCCTCTTCAAAATATTTTCGTCACACCAAAGCATCAAGATACCAAAAACGATACATTAAAGCCAATTAAGTAATTAAGTTTTAATTGTGCTACGTCATAATTACGTTCCGTCGAGTGCAATGAACATGAAGGGGTTCCTTAATCCGGCATTTTGCCAGCTCGTAACCCATTAAACACGATTGATTGCGCACGCGTTCGTTTAGTCCCCCCCTCTGTAAGGATTTGGAAGTTAATAAACGTTAGTAAGGTCGTTGGAAGGGGATCGAACCCGCGACTTTGAGCGTGAAAATATTCAATGGAAAGTGCACCCCGACACATCAAACACTAGGATATTTATTTAAAGGACACACAAATGTGTCCGGGGTGTAGGCGTGTGGGTGTATAGAGGTCGAAATGCTATCTGTTGTAGCTGTTAGTGGCCGTTACCGTATGGTTGTCTGTCTGTCTGTGTTTTTTTTTAGTCGTTTAATTATATTATTTCGCTTCTGGTTTTGATTACATCGCTTTATTTAATTTAAAACCTGTAAACGGCGGCCATCCTTTTCCAGCAACATTCTAAAGGGAAATTTATGCAAAATAACCGTCTGTGGCCGTTGTTTACAGGTTTGACTGTACTGTAAAGTACAGGGCATAAGTTCAAGTGGCGTAATAAATGTACTGTACGTTTAATAAGTGATGGGTTCTTAACCACGTTCTGAAACATTTGGGTAAAACCTAAATCTATGTGGGCCTATAGCTGTCTAGGCCTTCGATTCTAGATGAAGTGGGCCCTATGACTAGAGATAGAAAAGGCATAGCAAGCCTATTTGGCGCGAGTTTGTTTTGTTTATATATATTTTTAAGACTTTCAGAAGGGCCCTACATTTATGACCGAACCGGATCTATATACAAATTAGGCATAGGACCTGGCGCTAGGGGCCATAAGTGGAAATCCGGTCTAAATAGAGGTTGTGGGCCTCGTAGAATTGGAATATTTTTTTAATATTTTTTTTATTTTATGCATCAGTATTTTTGACTTACTTAGAAGAAGAAAGTCACAATGCACAGCTGAGTGACCCGTTGGATGCCACGCGATTTAAAAATATAATAAAAATAATAAAATTAACAATTTCCGTTTCCGGTTCTAATCCGTTATTGTTAGACGTCAAATACGTATGACGTGAGACGAGAACGTTTAAACGTCATCTTCCATTTTGTTTGATTGAATACTAAAAAAATAATAATAATAATGAATATAATCGTATATTAACACGTGAATATAATTCTTTTGACCTCTAATTCCACGAAAACACGAGACACGAGGCCCTACTAACCCTCTACTATAAGGATTTTGGCTCCTATAATGATCACAGTGTGAGTGTGAGTCCTCGAAAACGTGTTTTTCGGGCCTCACAACTTAGGTCCACAAGTTTAAATCTGGTCCATAAGAGGCCCTCCTGTCTCTACAAAATCATAATAAATTTAAAAGTTGTGGCCTTAAATTACATCCTTCTGAAGGCTGGATGACGATGACCAAGTGATGGGCCTGGTATCGAATTCGAACGGGTGGAAAGGCCCCGCCATTCACCACCCGACCGCCCATTGTGGGCCTAAACGAACACATAACGGGCTTGCTTAAAAGGCCCTCTTGGTGAGTGACGGGATCTTTCCACCCGTCCGAATTCGATACCAGGACCACCGGAGCGGCAGCCTTCAGCAGGATGTAATTTAAGGCCACAAACTTTTAAACGTATTATGATTTTGTAGAGACACGAGGGCCTCTTACGCAGTTTAGTAAATTATTTTCATAACAGATGGCGCCACTCCAGCTTTTATTGACGGTTTTATGAAAATATATTGAATACGAAACTACGTCTTTGTATAATAATAGAAATAGGGTGCGTTCGTAAAGTCGAACGAGTCGTAAAGTACAAATTTTACTCAGCGCGCATGCTCAATGTTCCAAACGAAACTCTATAAAGAAATTCACGAAGGAAAGATGAATAATTAATCACGTTAATTACTCTAAGAATCATTTATAAATTCGATTTTAGAAACGGACATTTTGTCGTGAACGAATCGGTGGCAATAAAGAACAACGATGACGTCATTCTCGTTTAACTCGTTCGACTTTACGAACGCAATCCGTTCGTCATGGCAACGTAGCAGACGACGTCACGTCAGAAAAGTTCGTCTGCTCTTCGAAAGGCGGCAGAGGAAGGCCTTAATGGTAAAATTTCCGTCGTTTTATCGAATTAAGGCAACGATTAAACCTCTTTATAAGGAAAAGTGAGTATTTGCCGCTAGAACCGCGTAACACGCTCGGCCATTACTGTCTTTGGACGTCTGTGATTGGCCAATTCAAATCGGTGGTGGATCAAGGCTCGGAGGGCCCAAGAGCGAGTTAGTTTTGAGACCCCTTTATTCTAAATACGAAGTAATGCTATTTATTACTGATCATTCAATACTTTCCTTAAAGAATAAATCTCTAAATGTGTAAATGAAGTTGTAGATTTTCCGACTGTCTTTTTGAATGCTGCTAACTTTCGGAGACAGCAAGGGCCCGCTTCTTGCTCCTCCACCACTGCGTAGTCTTCATCCTTTGCAGATTACAGGCCGCGGGCCCTTTTTTCCATTTATTCTCGAACAAATGAAACACGCAGTTTCTTCGTCCATTGGCGCGTTACAGCTTTATGGGGTCCCAGGCAAAACTCGAATTAGGGGCCCCATGTACCGTAGTGTTGACTTCAGTTTTGTTCGGGGAATCCCCCGATATCCTCGGTTATTTTTAACGTGACCTTTGTGACCTTCAGTGCACCCCGAACTTGAGCCAAACCGGCAATCTAGTGTTCCCAGATATGGCCCAAGTTTAAACTTCGATATCTTTACTATAGTAATGAGTTTATAAGGTTGGTTTGGGCATCCATTTGTGGAGCCCCGGTAATTGCCCCCCTTCTTCCCACCTAGAATAATGTGCCACTGCCTCTATCAATAAAAAGCAGTCTTAAATTATTGAAGCCCTGAAGTATTACAAAGTGTCTTCCTATTGTAGAGGGTAAGTGTGATTCTATTTTCCAAAATTACTTTATTAGAGTCCTACTTGAAGTTCCTTAAAGCGCACTTACTTGATTTAATCTTGCATAAAATCCAGTGTAAACGTGGTCCTTCTTTTGAAGTAACTTTAGCACACTTAGTGTGATATGAAGATGCATTTGCAGTGTTCCGAGCCTTTTTTTAACATCTTCATAATGCACTGACACGTATATATAGTGCCATATTCAAAGAAATCTTCCCAATATTTTGTCTCCACATTTATTTCTGAATAACAATAGTTTACAACTGCTTTTTCAAAAGAATTTCATAAAATTTGAGATAAATTTTGTGGCACCCAATATTAAAATCTCCTTTTAGGCATTTGTCGGATGGCAATGCTTGATATTTCATTTTTGTAAAGTCGCGCAGAACTGAAACAAGAAAATATCCCTGCACAAACTTCTTAGACTAAAAACTCTGTTAAACTTTTGCAAATTTCTGCCAGAATAAGCTTCCCCCTTTAAATAGGTTTTATGAAAATCATTATGCGGCAAGGCCTATTGATTCTCCACGACCGTTCGAATGTTGTCCACGAAAACACTTCAACGGGTCATGGACTGGAAAACCGAATTACGGTAATGTCCGAAAAGATCAGCAATAGTCCCTGATGCGACAGAACTGGTACTAAGACCTAAACTATATACCATCGGCAATAGGAAGCATGTATAGCCATTGCAAACAAGGTTTGGCCACCTTGTCGCAATGGCTATAGATGGTTCCTATTGCGCCGTTCCATAGTAAATATCAGTTTACCTATTCAGTCAAAGTGCTGGTTAATCATTTAACTCCTCTCAGTTGCAAGTTACACTTACAATCTGTGTGTATATCACACACACACAATATTTTTTGTGTTATGTAGTATGTACTGTACAGTACATATTGATAGTTCTTTTATAAACTTTGTATGTGTGCAGAAGCCATAATAAGGGTCTGGAAGAGCCGCAAGTGGCTCGTAAGCCACAGCTTCTACGTAAGGGGAACAAAGAGGAACAATGCCACAGATAAAATTAATTAAAAGCAATCTTGAATTTAAATTAGATTTATTATAAACAAGAGTAGAAAATCATTAGGAATAATAGTTTAAAGAAAAGATATATGTGGAAACATCATAAATTGTATTAGATCCTATTTTTTTTCGTACTAAAATGATATTTCGACTGTGTCAAAATTTAGAAAAGCAGTTGTTTTTTTTTTTTTAAACTATTTTAAGCTATTCTTATTACAGTAACTGTAACATTTATTATTTACATTTTTAGCCATCTAACAGCATTGAATATTGTACTGATATAACAGATATTATTTTTAATATTAAGTCCGTCTTTTAGTATTAATCCTGAGTCTTCCTTTAACACCGAAAGGAGTTATCAATCATAAATCATTTAACTAAACAAGTTTCCAATGTTTTGATTTATAAAATCCAGAATAATAATAATAATATGAACAAAGTATTAATTTGGATTCTATATATATATATAAAATAAAAAAAAAAAACAAAAATCACATTACTTGTACTGGAATTTGTCTTTACACATAGTAAACACAAAATTATGAACAAATTACGAAATCAATTACATTCGAATCGGTATTAAATTCAATTGAAATTTGGCATGGATCCACCCATTTTCGAAGCGATTTTATTCACGATTCTTTGCACTTTTGGATTAGACTGGTACTTGCTTATATTAGCCGGATTGCGAGTGATGTCGCTGAAAGCTGCGGCCACTTCGGGATCCTGAAAAGTGAATAAAAGTAATTGAATTATGAATACAATGTTTAAGAGTTACGGAAGACAAGTCTCTTATATGGAAAATCTTTAGAAAAAGGTCATATATTAGAGAGGTTGAGGCGCACGTTTTAAACGTGTAAACGTGTACGTGTGACGTTCGGCGCCACTTTCCCGTAAGCCTAAAAGTTTGACGATGGTGTTTGGAATGTCGAGCGTGATTCCACCGACTATCCAAACACCATTGTCAAACTTCTAGGCTTACGGAAAAGCGGCGCCGAACGTCACACGTACACGTTTACACGTTTAAAACGTGCGCCTCAACCTCTCTATTAATATAAATATATGTACGTTTAATACATTAAACAGTTAAATAGCAAGGCAATTATTCTATTTAGCTATTCTTTTTGTGTAAACTAACAATGATATGCTTTTATCTGTAATCTTTAGTGTTCTTTTATTGGAAAAGTAAGTTTTACTTGCAGAATTTTGTTTATTATACTGTATATGTACTCCTTGCCCATTTATCACCATCCAACTTCATAAAATGTGCATTATGTATCTTGTTCAATGCATTAATGTCACAAAAAGTCTGAAGTAACATTGCAAATATGATTAGTTAGAACATTAGACTTATGCACAGACGTATTGAAAGACTCTCCAAGTGTTAAAATATGCATATCAAATACAACTGGCATTTGGAAGAGACATCTATAGCAGAAAGCCTAAACACATTTTTTTTACAGAAATTATTCAATTTTTTTTTCTTTTTTTAATGATATTACTTGAAAACACCTTGGTTCACCCGAGGAAACCCAGCTTGATGACGTCATCAAGCTGGGAACAAAGCAAGATTTCCTCGGGTGAACCAAAGTATTTCTGCCAACGTCCGTGAATAGCTTGTAGTCTATGCCACAGCAAGTCAAAAAATTACATGCAGCAAATGGAAGGCCAATGATGACTGTTTTGTACAACCAACCGAAACATTTTGTCACTTGTTTTTTTGCTATTTACATTTCTGGATGAGCTGTCCAATTGCGCATTATTAATGTTTTTAGTTTTATTACTATAGCCTGCACAGTGAGAGAGTAAACATAAGTCAGCCTGAGTTGGAAAGGCCTGTTTTGGAAGTAAGGAGACATGCGAGTATGTTAATTACAGTGGTACCTCAGGATACGAAATTAATCCGTTCCGACACTGAGATCGTATCATGAAAATGTCGTAAGGTGAATCATTTTTCCCCATACGATTACATGTAAAACCAAATAATTCGTTCCAACACGAAAAACACACTCAAATTAAAGCTAAGTAATACATTTAAAAAAAACAACTATAGTAAGGAAAACACTGAAACATGCGTTTTGTAGTTGTAAATGTATAAATAATCGTAATAGAATAATAATTGATAAAAAAAATGTAGTTTTATTTGCACTTTACCTTTGAGAATAGACGATGGTGGAGGTGTAAATTGGTGGCGGAAGAGAGGAAGAAGGGAAACTAAAACGTATTTAACGTATTATTATACGTACTAAAACGTATTTAACAATAACTTAAAAATAACTTAGAAATGATTAAAAAAATTAGTGTTGTTTTATATTTTCTTTTTTTTTTTTAATTTTTATTCACTGCTTTTTGCTTTCTTTCCTTCACTTCCACCCAGCACTTTCACTGGATAGAGGTCGCTTGATAAAATATCTATCCAAAGAGGTTTTGCTTTGCCTACTTTTTAAAATGTTTCTAAAATGACTTAGGCAAATGTTATTACTCTGAGCAGCAATACGGCCAGTGTGAACCTTTTCGGAGTGTTTCTTTTCAATAAAATCAGTCACTTTCTGATAATACCTCAGGATTTCCTTTATCGAGCGAGATCCTTCCACGACGAAGCAAACACGCGGACTGAGACCAACGAACAGAAGTGAATAAAAAATGGCGCTGCGAACTAATGTAACATCGTATGGTGAGTTTTTGTTTGTATCGTGGAGCAAAAATATGTTCGAATTTCGTGTTGTATCCTGAAAATTTCGTATGCTGGGGCGTTCGTATCTCGAGGTACCACTGTAATTGTAAATGATTTCAGAAACAAGAATGAAAATTTATATAACATTAACCTGAAAAGCTTGCACAATTTCTGGATCTTGAAGTATCTGTTGGATATTTGGTGTAAATGGCATTCCTCCAGGAAAACCTCCAAAATCACCTGCTTTTTGCTGCTGTTCTTGAGCCTATAGATAAAGTAAAATGATCATGTTATGTTGTAAATAAATTCTCTTTCGTTACATTCAAATTGTTTTCAAATTCAGTTCAAATTTTAATGAAAAATATAGCATTAATTAGTCTTATTAATATAATAAAGAAATACAAATTTTTATCAATAAATAAATGAAGAGTGAAGCTATTAAAAATTATTAACTTCTTTTGCAGCTTTCTCCCTTTCTTCTTGAATCTTTTTCATTTTCTCTTCCCTTTCCTTCAGTAATTTTATCTCCTGCTTCCTCTCATATTTCCTCTTGTGTTCCTGTATTTTTTTTGCCTAGAAAATGTGAAAAGTGATTGTTACTTAATCTTCAATCTTTTTCAAATGTACTTTCTTATTTTTGATAACGTCACTAATATTTCATACTTATCTTTAATGTAATATCTGGAAAATCAATATTTAAAAAAAAAAATCAGTATTTAAGAGATGAGAAGTTACTGTGTTTTTACTGTTTACACCAGTGGTGCTCAAACTGTAGCCAACAGCACACATTAATTCAGCCTATAAACATATATGCAAACTTATATAACTTATGCAAAAAGTGAGTATATTTGTTTTGTTTATATGGGACTCCATAAATTACATAACAATATTTTTATACTTTTCAAATTTAGCCCCCAAAATTTCATAACACACATCACTGATCAAGCCCCTTAATTGCAGTAAAAAATAATACACAGCTTGGTGTACTGAACATTACATTATTTTATTAATTACATGTCCAACAAGCAAAGTAGTGAAATAAACAATAAGGTTTCCTCTGTAACACTTTGTAACAAAGCTGAGCCTGACCGACAGCCTTAAAATGTTCCCCTAATTTAGTTTAAACAATCCGGTTTTCTTAAAAAAGCTTTTTCATTACTTTTTGTTACAGATGATTGTTCTGTTACCTGAAGATTGAGACACTAGCAATACCCAATATTGTAAACACCCCCATCTGAATCATAACAATTACCCACATCTACGTCATGTAATTTATGTACTGTACAGCTGCCATGTGGAATAAACATAACATTTTGATCCCACCAATCAAATCTGTTTCCTTTGCTATCTAACAGGCTTTAAAATTTTTAATATTTTAATTTATAAGCAATGTTTAAAACTAAATACATAATCTCACTAAATAACATATAAATCTCACTAAATAACACTAAATACATAATCTCACTATTAACAAGGAAAATCTTACTTACATTAGGTGTTACTTCTTTCAACCATTCATTTGCTTCTTCGCTGTAATCCAAGTTGCAAGCCATGCTTAAATCTTTAGCTGCCTCAACCCAATTTCCAAGCAATCTAATTATTAAATTAAACACGAATAAACACGAAATTTAAAGCATTTCCTACTATGAAAAGTAATTAGTTTCTACGTAATTATTTTTTAAAATAATTAATTACAAATAAAATTGCTTTATACATTTTTGAATTTTTGTTCAAAATAGTGTAAAAAATGTTTGTTTAAAATATCTGAAAGCATTTTAGATATTAAAAATACTGTAATAATGGATTATGTAACGATTTGAAGGTCAAAAACATGTCAAAATCCTAAAAGAAATTTTTTGTTTAAAAGAATATTCAATTTTTAGATAATTTACAAACTTATATATCAATAGATTATTAACCAATCTTTTCCTTTAATAAACTTATTTCCGTCTTAATGTAACAAGAATTTCTTTCACAACATGATTAATAGCATGATTGTTATAATAAAAAAAAGTTTGTGTTTCATTTGTAAATTGCTTATTTTTTTCCTTCCAATGAAGTTGTGGATCCTATGCAGCATTTTTCTGCAGGATGCACATACTGTACTTTTTTATGCAATATTTTATTTTTATGCAGTCTTCTTTGGAGCATGTTCACCACTCAAAAAGAGGGATAGGTGTGCCTTCTCAGCAGTAAAAAACAACTGGAAGGCGATGCAACAGACTGAACAGTGAGAGCTGACAAGGTATCCAGTTTTGATACCTAATGCCGATATTGGCCGGTATCTACACTTTAAAACTACTCATTATACCAGTATCAATACTTTTGTGGTATCAAGATATCCCTAGTCAGAGCAAACAAAAGGAATTTCAGCAGCAGTAAGACACCATATTATTGACTAATTATATGAGTGCCTATAGAATTTAATTGTGTGAAAATATATTTCATAGTCCATTTACTACTTAATTGCATTAGTGCATTTTAATTTTTCTGTCAGGACATATGCTCCACCCTTTATATCTATAGTTTACTAGAGTATAAAAAGTGATTTTATACTCTAGCTAAAAGTGCATATAATTTAAAAATATAATTAAACTGAATTATTTTACCAAAGACTCAATGGAAAAATACAACAAAGACTATTATTTTTCAAGCAGTTCATGTAAATAATAGTATTTGTTACATTACATAGGCCTATATTATGAACATAAAAAGACATTATTATTTCAAACATTTATAAAAACAAAAACTATATTTATAATCACTTAATTTAAGAAACTAAATTTTAATTAAGCATTAACATACCTTTGAGCTCTGCCACGAAATTTATAAGCTATGGGCTGATCAGGATTTAGTTCCAATGCTTTGTTACAATCTCTAATAGCTGCATTTGGTTTTTGTAGTTTAAGAAATAATCTATAAAAAATATATATATATAAAATTGTAATTTTTTAATGTAGATTATCATTTCTAATATAAACTAGTGTTACAATATCTAATTCATACTTTCATATAATTTTATTTACAGTAGCTATAGCAGGAGTGGCCAAACCTTGTCACGATAGGAGCGTATCAGCAATATAAGAGAACCACATCCCATATTGTAATGGTTTTTTAATATTTTACCTATATAAACTGTATGCACAGAGAAACTAAGAGCCAAAGAAGGGGATCCTATCCCTTATTACTTAGGTTTAGGACTCCTTACCCCTAAGTTATAAAAATCAGGGGTCCTATATACAAGAGCCCTATAAGCCCTTTTATTGAGACAAAGCATTAGCAAAGCCTCTTCTATGTGGCTTGTAAAATTGTGTTCATTCTCAAAATTTGATTGGTCAATTTTGATTAAACTTTGTCATTTTACAAAATATGAGACGAGGATAAAAATGTAATAAAAATCAGGAATCTGTGATTTCATTTTCAAGATACAGTGAGGTCAAAGTGACAATATCCAAGATCTCTAGCAAGAGTGCAAGCAATTTTTTTCTTCTTTTTATTATTTTATATGCCAGCAGCAACACCATTGCCGCAGTAGTGGCAAATGATTGTCATAGCTGGTCCCCCAAAATATTACTATTTACTTGCTAACACTTTGAATTCTTAGTTCCTGTTTGAACATAAAATGAACTGTGCATAGTTATATCTTGATCTTACATACTTTATAAATCTTATTTGCTTAGAACATTTTAAAAGATGTATTTCTAAAATTTGAATTATAAAATTAAAAGTGTAATTGATTTTCTCTCTTAGATGTATTTATTTAAATTACTGAATTAAACTGTCAAATAATAATCAATTTTTATTTGCTATTTTTATAAAATTCTAGAGAACTACACTTTGACTTATTATTCCTTAGCCATTCTTCAGTTTCTTGCAGTATTTCAACAATATTTTGTATTGTTTTTTAACAATTATTTCCTGAAAAAACAGAGAGAACAGCTGATAGAAATAACAACAACATATAATGAAGTTCGCTGAAATTTTTTAAGAATTGCAAAAAGTTCTGCGTAAAACTTAAATCAGGAATAGCAAAACTATAAGGATTTGATTGGTAATGATAAAAAATTAACAGCATATTTTATATTTCAATTTGGTATTTGAATAAAAAATTTACATCAAAACTACATTTAACTAATTTACATAAATAGATTAATAATCTTTTCCTCTTATGTCATAGTTTTTAATTTTTTTCCCCATTCATTTTAAGTTATTCCAGATATCACGTTTGTTGAAATTGCAGTTTCTCAACCGGAACAGCAAAGCAAGTTTTTATTTCCCAACTCAAATGTGATTATTTTACAGAAAAATTCCTGGACATTTCATTATGTAATCTCGTGAATTTGTTTTATTTAATTTGATATTAAAATTGATATTTTTATGCAAATATTTTCTTATAAATTAAAATTTTTTTTCATACAAAAGAGTTAATGATAAACTGCAAATAAGTTTATTAAAAAAAAATCAAATATAAAGTGTCTAGGAGGAAGTTGAATAAATAAGACTTATGTCCTTATATAAAGTTTGTATTATTATTATTATTATTATTTTAAAATAGTTGTTACGATTCTTACCCTGCTCTTTTTGCATATAAAGCTGCACTTTGTGGATTCAGCTGTATAGCTTCGGTGTAAAGATTAATTGCTTCTTCAAATTTTCCTGTAAAAAAAATTTAATTATAAATTAAAAATTGATAAAATTCTGTATCACTATCTGTCATAGAACAGCACAGATAACAAGTTTTGAAAAAGTTCCTCAATTATAAATTATTTCAAAATTAATACAGGAAATCCTCATCAGTTTGAAATTCAAGGGACGAAATAATCACTTCTAATTATCTGAGATTTACATATTTCTGTACAATATGCCAAATGCCAGTAACTGATGTAATTTATTAAGCAAATAGAATATGGCTACATTTACAGAAAGCTATTTTTGTTAATTAATAATAATAATATAAATAAATTGCAGCTAAACAACATGTGTCTGGTGAGACTTCACAGGTTGCCAGATAAGTTTTATAAAAAATAAAGCAGAATTCCTCAAAATATACCCCAAATTATTTTTGAAGTGTCCCAAAAACTAGTAAGTCACCCAAATGTAGTAGTTTCCTAGCAAATATCGCAATCTGCTACTCGTAGCCCAATCTTGCAATCCCAAAACCCAGCTGTATTTTATGAGATAAAGGAAAAAAGGATAGTCTGTGGGTAAGGTGACAACCAAAAATATGTTTATTACTGTAAAATCAAAGCAATATTGACCAGATTAAAGTCATTCTTGGTCTATTGTTCTTTTATAGCACAGAGGCACTTCGATCTAAATGAACGAGTTAACATACGTATATCGCAGATCTGACAGAATTTTCACTTTGAATTTCAACATAGCCATATCGAACTAATAAAATTCCTTAACATGTAAATCTCTATATCTCCAGACAGACAAAAGTGCAGTTACGAACTAATGAGATTTCAAATTATCAGAGTTTGAATTAACAATAATTTCCTGTATTTCAAAATTATTTAGTATTAATATCAGTATTTCAAAATTAATATTAAAACTAAATAGCAGCTTCTGAAGAGAAAATGTTTTTATGCTTTGATGTGAAATATACTGTACATCCGACAACATGAAATTACAATTTTATAGCTATGGTTTTAAATATGGCAATAACGCAGTAGAAATATTAAAGACAAAATATCAAAATCAAAAATGTTTAATTTTATAACAAATGTAACTAATATATCCGAATAAATCTAGTGTTTCTGAACAGAAGATAAACACAAAATTCTAAAATATTATTTAAGATATTCTGAATTGATGAGGTAATCATCAATTACTGAAAGGTATCAATCAATACAATCTAGCACAACTAATCTCGGTTATCTTTATGTTAAGTTACTGAGCAACATTTAAGGTTTCTTCAAGTACTCGAAACTGCAGAGATATTTACAATAATGTAATCCTTTGAAAAACAAAATTAAACAAACATGCATCTGGATTTCTTCTTTACTACAGTGTAAAGAGGAAATTCAGCTGCTTGTCTATAGAAATTGTATTCCTACGCTTATTATTTAATTCTTTTTCAAAGTTATATCAATTTTTATTAATACACGTAAATTAATGATTAATTTACTTGCCTTCGGAAGCAACGCTCATTGCCTGTGATCTCTTTTCGTTACTTTCTTCGATCATTTCATCCGTTACCTAAAAAAATGAACATTTAACAAAAGTTTCGACAATTTATTTTTCTCATATAATTGCATCGTAATAAATATAAACGTAAATATAATAAATAGTTTGTTATAGTGATTAACTATAAAAGTATCTAAGTGCAATATCATTCACTTATTGCAATTTTTTTTTGACAGCTAATTATGTTATTCTTCTAATGATTTATTTATTCATTCAGATCTTTAAGTGTCACATATCTTAGTGGATAAGTACATAACAACCAGAAAAAACTTTTTTCCCTTAAAAGAACATATAATTCAAACTTAAAATGTATGAAGAGAAAATGACGACATACAAGACTATTAGAACAGGTTACACCAAGTAGAATTTTTCTATCATAAATTTACATTTTGACTGATACGCTGACTTGCAAAACAACACTATCGTCCTTCTCGTCTTGCAATTTTATTGTCATTTCCCTCAGTATTATGCTATCTAAGTTAATTAAAAAACTAATTTCGAAAATTTGAAATTATTTCTTCCAAAAACAGTGTCGGAGCACATTTGATCTTGAAAAAATAAGAACTTATATACAATCAACAGCAAATGCTAATTGTTAAAACTAAGATATACTCATTTATATGTAATTAATGCAAACAGAATTTTCTTACGTCTTTGCTTTCATCGCCCATAGGGAGAGGTTCGTCAGAATCAGGCTCGATTACGCCTGAATTATCTAATTCTGAAACGAAAGAATTTATTATAAAAACTGAAAAACTTTTTCGAATTGCTATAATTAATGACTAAGTTTGACAGAAATGTTGCACATCTTTCAAAAATTAATAATTTTATTTGGTTTTCCTTTTCACTTGCTTAATTAAAAATAAATATATCTATAATAACTAACCTATTGGTTCAAATTACCAAGTACTGACCACCCTACAAACGGCAAAAATTTACAAAGAATAAGTGTCCTTAGTAAATTTCTGCAGGTTAGGTTGTCAGTACTTACTTGCTGTACTTACTCTAATTTTTATTATTCGTAGAATATAAAAATCAAATAATAATTTTATACATGTATAAGTATTAATATAGATGGCCAGATAGTTGGCCTACTGCTCTGTTAATCTAGGATCAAATCTGGGAGAGCTAATCCAGGAATTTTTCATTGGCGGTCTGTCCCAGATATACAAACGTACAATTGAAGATGACCCAACTGTATCCTGTGGAGTCTAAATCCAGATATCCATGCCTACAATGGAGTGATCGAGGCACTCATATTGAAGGCACAAATAAATCTATTGTAGGTGTAATTTAAAAAAATCCTATTAGTGACACAAGGAAGAGAGTAAAAATATCAATACATAATTATTGGAAGTTTTCCAACTGTATTTAAAATGTTTTATCTGAATATAACTTAATGATTTGTTAAAAAGAAATTAATAGATTTTCATTCTGAATAACTAAAAACAATTTTTGAAAATAAAAAGCTTACGCTACACTTCATTTTCTGAATTTTATTAGAGTTAATTGATCATAAAATAATTTATTTACTTACCAATATCGCTTTCTTCACTTTCGCTTTTTTCGGTGGATGGTGGATTCGGTGTCTCTTCAGGCTCCTAAATATTTAAATCCATAAAACAATGTTACAGAGAAATTTAAGAGGGATTTTTTATTTGTGTTATAAATTCTTCTTTAATTTAATTAGAATTTGATTTCTTTTAATCTTAAGACAAGAGACAAGTGATATCAGATACAATAAGTCCTCACATAACATAGTCAATAGGTTCTTGGAAAGAGACTTTGGAATATTTGTTCTAATTACGCTACTGTTCTTATTGAATTGTGTTTGCAACCTCCAGCATTTAATTCAACAGTAATAATTGAAAACTAATTATAAATGTAACTGTATTTTTTTCTCATTAATGTTATAATGAAACGACGTTAAGTGAGGACTTAATGTATAAACATTAATCAATTCAATCTACAGATTAGGATAATTAACAATTGTTTTATAGTTACTTTTAATTTTATAAAACATACAAATCAATATGTAGAATAAACTCAATTTGCATACATATATATCATATTAATTAAAAATTTGCCTGAATCAGCTCCACACATTCGGTATTTGCAGATTGCAGAATAATTGCCTTTCGCCAAAGTATGTGCTGAAATGTTTGTCGTGTGACGAGCACACGTACAGTACATACAACGATTTGCCGAGATCAGTTTATTATGGGAATTACATACGGTACTGTTTGTCCGAGAATAGTCCCTTTGACGTGGAACAACATACTGAATATTTGTCAAGCAAAGTTGCGAGTAAATCATCCACATTACTCGGTAGTGGCCAAATGTTTGTTTGGCATTTGGCAAATACCGAACACGCGGAGCCACCTTTGTAATAACTAAAATTATCACGCAATATCATTACTGTAGTTATTTCTTCTGGTTGTTCTTCTGGTTGTTCTTCTGGTTTTGATTCTTCTTCCGGTTCGCTAGGCATCTTCGGAATAGTTGCTCCTAAACTGTAATAATGTTTATACGTTTCTGTTATTAAAATATAACATGTAGCATAAAATTTAAACATTTTTAATTATACTTATTCATATAATTCTNAAAAATTAGTGTTGTTTTATATTTTCTTTTTTTTTTTTAATTTTTATTCACTGCTTTTTGCTTTCTTTCCTTCACTTCCACCCAGCACTTTCACTGGATAGAGGTCGCTTGATAAAATATCTATCCAAAGAGGTTTTGCTTTGCCTACTTTTTAAAATGTTTCTAAAATGACTTAGGCAAATGTTATTACTCCGAGCAGCAATACGGCCAGTGTGAACCTTTTCGGAGTGTTTCTTTTCAATAAAATCAGTCACTTTCTGATAATACCTCAGGATTTCCTTTATCGAGCGAGATCCTTCCACGACGAAGCAAACACGCAGACTGAGACCAACGAACAGAAGTGAATAAAAAATGGCGCTGCGAACTAATGTAACATCGTATGGTGAGTTTTTGTTTGTATCATGGAGCAAAAATATGTTCGAATTTCGTGTTGTATCCTGAAAATTTCGTATGCTGGGGCGTTCGTATCTCGAAGTACCACTGTAATTGTAAATGATTTCAGAAACAAGAATGAAAATTTATATAACATTAACCTGAAAAGCTTGCACAATTTCTGGATCTTGAAGTATCTGTTGGATATTTGGTGTAAATGGCATTCCTCCAGGAAAACCTCCAAAATCACCTGCTTTTTGCTGCTGTTCTTGAGCCTATAGATAAAGTAAAATGATCATGTTATGTTGTAAATAAATTCTCTTTCGTTACATTCAAATTGTTTTCAAATTCAGTTCAAATTTTAATGAAAAATATAGCATTAATTAGTCTTATTAATATAATAAAGAAATACAAATTTTTATCAATAAATAAATGAAGAGTGAAGCTATTAAAAATTATTAACTTCTTTTGCAGCTTTCTCCCTTTCTTCTTGAATCTTTTTCATTTTCTCTTCCCTTTCCTTCAGTAATTTTATCTCCTGCTTCCTCTCATATTTCCTCTTGTGTTCCTGTATTTTTTTTGCCTAGAAAATGTGAAAAGTGATTGTTACTTAATCTTCAATCTTTTTCAAATGTACTTTCTTATTTTTGATAACGTCACTAATATTTCATACTTATCTTTAATGTAATATCTGGAAAATCAATATTTAAAAAAAAAAATCAGTATTTAAGAGATGAGAAGTTACTGTGTTTTTACTGTTTACACCAGTGGTGCTCAAACTGTAGCCAACAGCACACATTAATTCAGCCTATAAACATATATGCAAACTTATATAACTTATGCAAAAAGTGAGTATATTTGTTTTGTTTATATGGGACTCCATAAATTACATAACAATATTTTTATACTTTTCAAATTTAGCCCCCAAAATTTCATAACACACATCACTGATCAAGCCCCTTAATTGCAGTAAAAAATAATACACAGCTTGGTGTACTGAACATTACATTATTTTATTAATTACATGTCCAACAAGCAAAGTAGTGAAATAAACAATAAGGTTTCCTCTGTAACACTTTGTAACAAAGCTGAGCCTGACCGACAGCCTTAAAATGTTCCCCTAATTTAGTTTAAACAATCCGGTTTTCTTAAAAAAGCTTTTTCATTACTTTTTGTTACAGATGATTGTTCTGTTACCTGAAGATTGAGACACTAGCAATACCCAATATTGTAAACACCCCCATCTGAATCATAACAATTACCCACATCTACGTCATGTAATTTATGTACTGTACAGCTGCCATGTGGAATAAACATAACATTTTGATCCCACCAATCAAATCTGTTTCCTTTGCTATCTAACAGGCTTTAAAATTTTTAATATTTTAATTTATAAGCAATGTTTAAAACTAAATACATAATCTCACTAAATAACATATAAATCTCACTAAATAACACTAAATACATAATCTCACTATTAACAAGGAAAATCTTACTTACATTAGGTGTTACTTCTTTCAACCATTCATTTGCTTCTTCGCTGTAATCCAAGTTGCAAGCCATGCTTAAATCTTTAGCTGCCTCAACCCAATTTCCAAGCAATCTAATTATTAAATTAAACACGAATAAACACGAAATTTAAAGCATTTCCTACTATGAAAAGTAATTAGTTTCTACGTAATTATTTTTTAAAATAATTAATTACAAATAAAATTGCTTTATACATTTTTGAATTTTTGTTCAAAATAGTGTAAAAAATGTTTGTTTAAAATATCTGAAAGCATTTTAGATATTAAAAATACTGTAATAATGGATTATGTAACGATTTGAAGGTCAAAAACATGTCAAAATCCTAAAAGAAATTTTTTGTTTAAAAGAATATTCAATTTTTAGATAATTTACAAACTTATATATCAATAGATTATTAACCAATCTTTTCCTTTAATAAACTTATTTCCGTCTTAATGTAACAAGAATTTCTTTCACAACATGATTAATAGCATGATTGTTATAATAAAAAAAAGTTTGTGTTTCATTTGTAAATTGCTTATTTTTTTCCTTCCAATGAAGTTGTGGATCCTATGCAGCATTTTTCTGCAGGATGCACATACTGTACTTTTTTATGCAATATTTTATTTTTATGCAGTCTTCTTTGGAGCATGTTCACCACTCAAAAAGAGGGATAGGTGTGCCTTCTCAGCAGTAAAAAACAACTGGAAGGCGATGCAACAGACTGAACAGTGAGAGCTGACAAGGTATCCAGTTTTGATACCTAATGCCGATATTGGCCGGTATCTACACTTTAAAACTACTCATTATACCAGTATCAATACTTTTGTGGTATCAAGATATCCCTAGTCAGAGCAAACAAAAGGAATTTCAGCAGCAGTAAGACACCATATTATTGACTAATTATATGAGTGCCTATAGAATTTAATTGTGTGAAAATATATTTCATAGTCCATTTACTACTTAATTGCATTAGTGCATTTTAATTTTTCTGTCAGGACATATGCTCCACCCTTTATATCTATAGTTTACTAGAGTATAAAAAGTGATTTTATACTCTAGCTAAAAGTGCATATAATTTAAAAATATAATTAAACTGAATTATTTTACCAAAGACTCAATGGAAAAATACAACAAAGACTATTATTTTTCAAGCAGTTCATGTAAATAATAGTATTTGTTACATTACATAGGCCTATATTATGAACATAAAAAGACATTATTATTTCAAACATTTATAAAAACAAAAACTATATTTATAATCACTTAATTTAAGAAACTAAATTTTAATTAAGCATTAACATACCTTTGAGCTCTGCCACGAAATTTATAAGCTATGGGCTGATCAGGATTTAGTTCCAATGCTTTGTTACAATCTCTAATAGCTGCATTTGGTTTTTGTAGTTTAAGAAATAATCTATAAAAAATATATATATATAAAATTGTAATTTTTTAATGTAGATTATCATTTCTAATATAAACTAGTGTTACAATATCTAATTCATACTTTCATATAATTTTATTTACAGTAGCTATAGCAGGAGTGGCCAAACCTTGTCACGATAGGAGCGTATCAGCAATATAAGAGAACCACATCCCATATTGTAATGGTTTTTTAATATTTTACCTATATAAACTGTATGCACAGAGAAACTAAGAGCCAAAGAAGGGGATCCTATCCCTTATTACTTAGGTTTAGGACTCCTTACCCCTAAGTTATAAAAATCAGGGGTCCTATATACAAGAGCCCTATAAGCCCTTTTATTGAGACAAAGCATTAGCAAAGCCTCTTCTATGTGGCTTGTAAAATTGTGTTCATTCTCAAAATTTGATTGGTCAATTTTGATTAAACTTTGTCATTTTACAAAATATGAGACGAGGATAAAAATGTAATAAAAATCAGGAATCTGTGATTTCATTTTCAAGATACAGTGAGGTCAAAGTGACAATATCCAAGATATCTAGCAAGAGTGCAAGCAATTTTTTTCTTCTTTTTATTATTTTATATGCCAGCAGCAACACCATTGCCGCAGTAGTGGCAAATGATTGTCATAGCTGGTCCCCCAAAATATTACTATTTACTTGCTAACACTTTGAATTCTTAGTTCCTGTTTGAACATAAAATGAACTGTGCATAGTTATATCTTGATCTTACATACTTTATAAATCTTATTTGCTTAGAACATTTTAAAAGATGTATTTCTAAAATTTGAATTATAAAATTAAAAGTGTAATTGATTTTCTCTCTTAGATGTATTTATTTAAATTACTGAATTAAACTGTCAAATAATAATCAATTTTTATTTGCTATTTTTATAAAATTCTAGAGAACTACACTTTGACTTATTATTCCTTAGCCATTCTTCAGTTTCTTGCAGTATTTCAACAATATTTTGTATTGTTTTTTAACAATTATTTCCTGAAAAAACAGAGAGAACAGCTGATAGAAATAACAACAACATATAATGAAGTTCGCTGAAATTTTTTAAGAATTGCAAAAAGTTCTGCGTAAAACTTAAATCAGGAATAGCAAAACTATAAGGATTTGATTGGTAATGATAAAAAATTAACAGCATATTTTATATTTCAATTTGGTATTTGAATAAAAAATTTACATCAAAACTACATTTAACTAATTTACATAAATAGATTAATAATCTTTTCCTCTTATGTCATAGTTTTTAATTTTTTTCCCCATTCATTTTAAGTTATTCCAGATATCACGTTTGTTGAAATTGCAGTTTCTCAACCGGAACAGCAAAGCAAGTTTTTATTTCCCAACTCAAATGTGATTATTTTACAGAAAAATTCCTGGACATTTCATTATGTAATCTCGTGAATTTGTTTTATTTAATTTGATATTAAAATTGATATTTTTATGCAAATATTTTCTTATAAATTAAAATTTTTTTTCATACAAAAGAGTTAATGATAAACTGCAAATAAGTTTATTAAAAAAAAATCAAATATAAAGTGTCTAGGAGGAAGTTGAATAAATAAGACTTATGTCCTTATATAAAGTTTGTATTATTATTATTATTATTATTTTAAAATAGTTGTTACGATTCTTACCCTGCTCTTTTTGCATATAAAGCTGCACTTTGTGGATTCAGCTGTATAGCTTCGGTGTAAAGATTAATTGCTTCTTCAAATTTTCCTGTAAAAAAAATTTAATTATAAATTAAAAATTGATAAAATTCTGTATCACTATCTGTCATAGAACAGCACAGATAACAAGTTTTGAAAAAGTTCCTCAATTATAAATTATTTCAAAATTAATACAGGAAATCCTCATCAGTTTGAAATTCAAGGGACGAAATAATCACTTCTAATTATCTGAGATTTACATATTTCTGTACAATATGCCAAATGCCAGTAACTGATGTAATTTATTAAGCAAATAGAATATGGCTACATTTACAGAAAGCTATTTTTGTTAATTAATAATAATAATATAAATAAATTGCAGCTAAACAACATGTGTCTGGTGAGACTTCACAGGTTGCCAGATAAGTTTTATAAAAAATAAAGCAGAATTCCTCAAAATATACCCCAAATTATTTTTGAAGTGTCCCAAAAACTAGTAAGTCACCCAAATGTAGTAGTTTCCTAGCAAATATCGCAATCTGCTACTCGTAGCCCAATCTTGCAATCCCAAAACCCAGCTGTATTTTATGAGATAAAGGAAAAAAGGATAGTCTGTGGGTAAGGTGACAACCAAAAATATGTTTATTACTGTAAAATCAAAGCAATATTGACCAGATTAAAGTCATTCTTGGTCTATTGTTCTTTTATAGCACAGAGGCACTTCGATCTAAATGAACGAGTTAACATACGTATATCGCAGATCTGACAGAATTTTCACTTTGAATTTCAACATAGCCATATCGAACTAATAAAATTCCTTAACATGTAAATCTCTATATCTCCAGACAGACAAAAGTGCAGTTACGAACTAATGAGATTTCAAATTATCAGAGTTTGAATTAACAATAATTTCCTGTATTTCAAAATTATTTAGTATTAATATCAGTATTTCAAAATTAATATTAAAACTAAATAGCAGCTTCTGAAGAGAAAATGTTTTTATGCTTTGATGTGAAATATACTGTACATCCGACAACATGAAATTACAATTTTATAGCTATGGTTTTAAATATGGCAATAACGCAGTAGAAATATTAAAGACAAAATATCAAAATCAAAAATGTTTAATTTTATAACAAATGTAACTAATATATCCGAATAAATCTAGTGTTTCTGAACAGAAGATAAACACAAAATTCTAAAATATTATTTAAGATATTCTGAATTGATGAGGTAATCATCAATTACTGAAAGGTATCAATCAATACAATCTAGCACAACTAATCTCGGTTATCTTTATGTTAAGTTACTGAGCAACATTTAAGGTTTCTTCAAGTACTCGAAACTGCAGAGATATTTACAATAATGTAATCCTTTGAAAAACAAAATTAAACAAACATGCATCTGGATTTCTTCTTTACTACAGTGTAAAGAGGAAATTCAGCTGCTTGTCTATAGAAATTGTATTCCTACGCTTATTATTTAATTCTTTTTCAAAGTTATATCAATTTTTATTAATACACGTAAATTAATGATTAATTTACTTGCCTTCGGAAGCAACGCTCATTGCCTGTGATCTCTTTTCGTTACTTTCTTCGATCATTTCATCCGTTACCTAAAAAAATGAACATTTAACAAAAGTTTCGACAATTTATTTTTCTCATATAATTGCATCGTAATAAATATAAACGTAAATATAATAAATAGTTTGTTATAGTGATTAACTATAAAAGTATCTAAGTGCAATATCATTCACTTATTGCAATTTTTTTTTGACAGCTAATTATGTTATTCTTCTAATGATTTATTTATTCATTCAGATCTTTAAGTGTCACATATCTTAGTGGATAAGTACATAACAACCAGAAAAAACTTTTTTCCCTTAAAAGAACATATAATTCAAACTTAAAATGTATGAAGAGAAAATGACGACATACAAGACTATTAGAACAGGTTACACCAAGTAGAATTTTTCTATCATAAATTTACATTTTGACTGATACGCTGACTTGCAAAACAACACTATCGTCCTTCTCGTCTTGCAATTTTATTGTCATTTCCCTCAGTATTATGCTATCTAAGTTAATTAAAAAACTAATTTCGAAAATTTGAAATTATTTCTTCCAAAAACAGTGTCGGAGCACATTTGATCTTGAAAAAATAAGAACTTATATACAATCAACAGCAAATGCTAATTGTTAAAACTAAGATATACTCATTTATATGTAATTAATGCAAACAGAATTTTCTTACGTCTTTGCTTTCATCGCCCATAGGGAGAGGTTCGTCAGAATCAGGCTCGATTACGCCTGAATTATCTAATTCTGAAACGAAAGAATTTATTATAAAAACTGAAAAACTTTTTCGAATTGCTATAATTAATGACTAAGTTTGACAGAAATGTTGCACATCTTTCAAAAATTAATAATTTTATTTGGTTTTCCTTTTCACTTGCTTAATTAAAAATAAATATATCTATAATAACTAACCTATTGGTTCAAATTACCAAGTACTGACCACCCTACAAACGGCAAAAATTTACAAAGAATAAGTGTCCTTAGTAAATTTCTGCAGGTTAGGTTGTCAGTACTTACTTGCTGTACTTACTCTAATTTTTATTATTTGTAGAATATAAAAATCAAATAATAATTTTATACATGTATAAGTATTAATATAGATGGCCAGATAGTTGGCCTACTGCTCTGTTAATCTAGGATCAAATCTGGGAGAGCTAATCCAGGAATTTTTCATTGGCGGTCTGTCCCAGATATACAAACGTACAATTGAAGATGACCCAACTGTATCCTGTGGAGTCTAAATCCAGATATCCATGCCTACAATGGAGTGATCGAGGCACTCATATTGAAGGCACAAATAAATCTATTGTAGGTGTAATTTAAAAAAATCCTATTAGTGACACAAGGAAGAGAGTAAAAATATCAATACATAATTATTGGAAGTTTTCCAACTGTATTTAAAATGTTTTATCTGAATATAACTTAATGATTTGTTAAAAAGAAATTAATAGATTTTCATTCTGAATAACTAAAAACAATTTTTGAAAATAAAAAGCTTACGCTACACTTCATTTTCTGAATTTTATTAGAGTTAATTGATCATAAAATAATTTATTTACTTACCAATATCGCTTTCTTCACTTTCGCTTTTTTCGGTGGATGGTGGATTCGGTGTCTCTTCAGGCTCCTAAATATTTAAATCCATAAAACAATGTTACAGAGAAATTTAAGAGGGATTTTTTATTTGTGTTATAAATTCTTCTTTAATTTAATTAGAATTTGATTTCTTTTAATCTTAAGACAAGAGACAAGTGATATCAGATACAATAAGTCCTCACATAACATAGTCAATAGGTTCTTGGAAAGAGACTTTGGAATATTTGTTCTAATTACGCTACTGTTCTTATTGAATTGTGTTTGCAACCTCCAGCATTTAATTCAACAGTAATAATTGAAAACTAATTATAAATGTAACTGTATTTTTTTCTCATTAATGTTATAATGAAACGACGTTAAGTGAGGACTTAATGTATAAACATTAATCAATTCAATCTACAGATTAGGATAATTAACAATTGTTTTATAGTTACTTTTAATTTTATAAAACATACAAATCAATATGTAGAATAAACTCAATTTGCATACATATATATCATATTAATTAAAAATTTGCCTGAATCAGCTCCACACATTCGGTATTTGCAGATTGCAGAATAATTGCCTTTCGCCAAAGTATGTGCTGAAATGTTTGTCGTGTGACGAGCACACGTACAGTACATACAACGATTTGCCGAGATCAGTTTATTATGGGAATTACATACGGTACTGTTTGTCCGAGAATAGTCCCTTTGACGTGGAACAACATACTGAATATTTGTCAAGCAAAGTTGCGAGTAAATCATCCACATTACTCGGTAGTGGCCAAATGTTTGTTTGGCATTTGGCAAATACCGAACACGCGGAGCCACCTTTGTAATAACTAAAATTATCACGCAATATCATTACTGTAGTTATTTCTTCTGGTTGTTCTTCTGGTTGTTGTTCTGGTTTTGATTCTTCTTCCGGTTCGCTAGGCATCTTCGGAATAGTTGCTCCTAAACTGTAATAATGTTTATACGTTTCTGTTATTAAAATATAACATGTAGCATAAAATTTAAACATTTTTAATTATACTTATTCATATAATTCTACATAAACCAATTTATTAAACATATTTAGTACCTATTTATGATAAAGTCTATTTTATTGTAAATTAAAAGATTTTCAACAAACTAATTACATAAACTGAATTTAAAAACTTAAATAAGTTTAAAGATACAATTATAATAAATTTTTCTTTACAAAGTTGTTATAAATCTTATAGTTGCATTCCATGCTGCATGTTAATTACCTTTTCTTTCTTTTATAACCGTAAAAATAACCAAATAACATCAGTGTTTAATAATCTAAGAGAAAATAACAAGCTGTTCAACAACTTTATTTTTATTCAACTTGTTTACTCACTAAAATAATTTTTATTCGATATTTATTTTCAATGCAGACAACTAGTCGTGACTAAATTTATATCTATTCGTGACACTTAATTGAATTATTAATATTTTCTTTCAAACAAGTGACCAAATCAACAACTTTATAATCAATCTTACTGCATCCTGAACCGGTTAAAATCCAGTATTTGTGATTTTAAGAAGCAATGCTTAGGTGAATAGTGTAGAATGATAGGCACAAATACTTTAGTTATGAAGTGTTTCATTCACACTTTCTCCTGACATGCCAGGACGCACACAAAATTTTGATCGTAGGGGTAAGTGCACCCATCTCCTTTGCATTCTACACACAAGACTCCTCAATATCTGGTAGAAGAAAGCATACCAGTGATTAATTATTCTGTTGTTATGAAGTTTCCAACAAAAGTCAAGTGTCCAACATTGTGTTGGACAATTGTTATTATTGACTTTAATAAACAGAGTGAAGTTTATGTACTGTGCCTTATTAAGAAGAAATCTAAGAGAATATTTGTATTTTCCGGTGGCCAAATGTAGAAAATTATACTGACATTACTCTCCAAGACGATGTCAAGTGTCTGGATCAAAAATGCCATGCTGAAAGACAGTTTATTTACTTTTTATTGCAACTTTAGTCTTATAACCAGGAATAAGATGCTTCAAAAGTAGTCCTAGACTATCTTTTCAAGAGAAAGTTACTGTCAAGCAATTTCATCTTGTTTCGTAAATCACTCTATATTTCTATTGCAATTAGGAACCTAAATTACAATAAATAATGCTGATTTTACTGTTGCCTTTTAGTATGCCATTGTTACTTCATTTTCTATTGTCATATTTGCATTGGAGCATACTGAAGTCTGTATACAAATGAAAGATTATTGTCACACTGATTTGACAGCTCTGGCAGTTGATTTCATTTGTATCTTCCTAGCTATTACAATGTAGAGTGCACTTATACCCCATGATATTCACAAACTATTACTATGAAACCAGGTCAGTTATGATTTTTTAAATCAGATAATCTTTACTCTGCTTCATTGGCTAAAAAACTCTCAATTCCAGAAATGCACTTACCCCACCCAACCCTAACAATTACAGATATGGTCCAATTGCATGACAGATAACAGTCAACAGCATGCCTTAAAATTGGTAACCCAGTATCCTATAAAAAAGCTTGCAGATTTACTGTGTTCAGAATTTTCAGCATACCTGTTGTTTGGAGGTCTTTGAATGCCAGGTATTCCTGTATGATGAAGTCAGACATTGTGCACAGCTGAAGGAGTTTAAAAAAGGCTGTATCTCAGGCTAGTGAAGCAGGATGGAAATTTCACCAAACTGCTGCTATCATAGCTGTTCTAACCTGCCTGATATGCTGAAGGCAATGGCTACATCAGGGCATAAATACACAATGGAGACTAGACACCCCAGACAGATCAAAGGAAATGTGATTGTGTTATTGCGTGATGACCATGAACAGCTGTAATGGCATCTTTGTCCACCATACAGAGACAGGTGGAAGCCTCACTACAGATTTCCAACTCTATATGCTAGTTGCCTGCCGACGTACATCAGGCAACTAGCAGAGGCCTGATTTGTATGCACAGCAACTGCTATGCATCCTATCATAAGCACACCAACATCATTAGTTTCATCATTTGCAGTGATACTGTGAAAGACACACAATGACTGTTACATACTGGCAACATATCACCTTTAGTAACCGAATCTGTCGTCTGGGAACAGACAGCCACCACTTTAGTGTATGGTGCACCACCAAGAGCACTTCAATCTTGCCTTTTCTGTTGAGTGGCCCACTGTTCCACTGCTGAATATCCCCAGACCCATCTTGTATGAAAAACAATCACCCCTAACAGTAATATGATAGATGTTGACAGCAGAGCAGTATGTTCAGAAAACCCTGCACCCTCATATTGCCTTTCATGGCAGGGATGCAAACAGCCCCTTTCCAACAAGATAATACTCAGCTGACAAAACTAGAGTTTCCAAAGAATGTCTGTTATGTTGTTACACTTCCTTGGCCTACTCATTCTCTAAACTTATGAAACCAGATGGGAAACCAGCTTCAGCCATGTGACAGTATAAAAAGTTTGGAGTGACAGTTACATCTGTGGGCAAATATGTCGCAGAATAGCATACAATGTCCATATGACTCCAGGCACAACTATAACACTGCATGTATCCTGGCAAGAGAAGATTCTGCAAAATAGTAAAGGTTCCTTTAAATTTTTCTGCTGCTTGGTACATAACCTTTTGAAAGTTTATAAGATACAATCTTTGTTTCAAAACTTGTATCAGTAAAATTTTCATTAAGTCCTATCCCAGACAACATATGACTAATGAGCCCTAGAGTTACATAATTTGAAATTTAATAGCCCCGATGCCCCTTATATACAAGTTACCATGCCTAATTTCATTTCTTAATCTTTAACCAATTCCGAGATATTAAAGTAGATGCCAACACTACACACATACAGAATTTTTTCTCCTTTATTCTGGGTTCGGGGGTCTGAAAACATTGAGATCTGCAAAATACCGAGAGGGCCAAATCTGACATTATTGCGACACTTTCCTCTGTTATCACAGCTGAAAAGTAACGACTACATCGACTCAAATATTAACGTTAAGTTAGTCGTATCAAAAAAAAGTTTTACACAAATAATATTCTTTGACGTAACAAATCTATAGAAGTTCTACGCACGTAAAAAAATCTATTTCGAGAAATTAACACTTAATTATTATAACAAACAAACCATTTTTACCTTTCCATATAATCCTTAAAAAAATGTAATTCTGGCATATGTAGAACAGCCGGATTTTCTTTGCAAAGATCTACAAATTGCCTCAACTGTGCTAGTTGTTCTTTATTTATTGGAGCCATTGTATCTCTTGTACTGTATTAAAAACAAAAAATAAAATATCTTTTAAAATTATTGTTACATTGTCATAAGAAAACGGCATCTATCACAATATATCAATGTTTAGTTTGGCTGCTATTCCAAATATTCACAATTATGATTCCATTAACTTCTAAAATTTGCAATATAATACTCTATAATAATGCAATGTCTTTACTTAAAATTATCAGATTATTTTTATAGTATGACTCATAATTTTTGATTTGATAAAATGTTATCTATCCTTCTTTAGTCATTTATATCCGAGCATTCGGAAACACAACAGGAAATACATATATATCGCTTCGAAATAGTCTTAATGTTGATAATATATACACATTTAATTCCCATTCGTGTATTTTTAAAGAAATATTATGAGTCAATGATAGTAATAAACCTTCACATATATATTCTGCATAGAGCATATAGTTTTATAATTTTAATTTCAGAACCGTTGAAATAATCACCATATATGAACAATATTATACTGATAAAAAGTTTTAGTATTTTCCGAATGAGTAGTTCAGATCCCAAATTTTAGATCTCCAGACCAATGTTTTTCAACAGTTGATGCACGAAAAAATTTCACCGGTATGCAAAAGCCGGCGTTGTCAATTACGGGTGACATTTAAATAGTAATCTAGAGTCACTCTATGTACTTTGTTGCATACAATAACTCCAGATAAGCATAAATACACTTAATAAATAAGCATAATGCATAGTAATTATAAAATTACTCAATCCAAGTAAAATTATCCACAACTTTACAAGAAAATAGTCAAAAAACACCGCTCCACACCACTAAACGAGTCAAACGAACCAAATCTCTAACTGCCACCCACGGAAAGTTAGAATATCCGACTAGGCCGTTCGTTAAACATGCAATACAGTGTGCGCATAGCTCAATCACGCAATGTTAACGTGAATATTAATAAAGTTCCTAGATGGCCAGATGGCCGAGCGGTCAAGGCGGCAGCCTGCCGATCCGGGGGACCCGAAATCGAATCCGGACGGGTCGAAAAATCCCTGGGGAGACAATCCGACCGGATAAGTCAGTCCCCCATCCTTCATCACCATTGTAGGTCTGGCCGAATCCATAACGCCCTGCTAAAAAGAGGCCCTCTTTAGGCCTCTTAGGGCCTCTATTTCGAAGAAATAAGCCAAAAAAGTTTTATTACGTAAATTCCATAGATTTTCATACAATTTTCCGAAATTTACTTCGAATTTAACGTGTTTGAAATCGACATTTTGGGGAAAAAGAAAAAAAAAAAATTCCAGTCACACGTCACACAAGAATTTCGTCTCGTGTTTTAAATTAACAAAACGTAAACACATACATTACAAATGCTAATTAATAACACTTAACGTGTGTATTTTTATAAATAAATGTAATATATAAGTATTATACCTCCAAATTTCCTTTTTAAAAAATATTCTTATCGCACCTCGACTATATTTTATTCGTATTTCCGATTTGAAATTTCTAACACTGGGTGGCGCTTTTAAAACTCTTCGTCCATTTTGAGTTTTTTTTTTTTTTTTTTAAATTTAGTTCTTTAATCATTAATTTAAACATTTAAATATTGTTGTAACTTTTTTGAAATTGCCACTTAATTTATGATAAATAATAATTTACAAAAACGTTAATAAATATTAATGTTTCGTGTTTAGATTAGATAGGATATTTTTTTTATATATAACTCTTTCTGCTCTTTGGGCGCTGAGGATCCGTTATGGGTTTGTCCAGGCCCTCAATGGGGTTGATATATTCGGACATATCACTCTCCCGAAAATTTCCTGGAGTTCTTGACCAGTCCGGATTTCGGGTTCTTAGAGTGGTAAGCTGCCATCTTAACCGCTCGGCCATCCAGTCGTGGTTTAATGGGATAGGTCTATGCAATACATGGGAAATTTACTAATGGGAATGCCTCCTGGAAGAATTTTCTACGGGAAACTGTTGAAGAAATCCCGGAAAACTTCACCTATTCCCTTTCAAGAGGCACGAATCCGCGGCAAACTATCAATGTTTAGTGGTTTTATCCACTCGGTCATTGATGGGAGACCCGGTATCGAATCTAGACGGTCAAAAAAACTCAGAAATATTTTGGGGTGGTCTGTTCCGGATATGTCGGGCCTTATCCTTTCCCACCCAGCCGCTCCATTGTAAACTTGGCTGAACCTGCGATGGATATAGTCGCACAGCAAAAGATCCCACACGGAAGAATGACTTAATAATATAACTGGTAGATGTTTCTCGTTATATGATAAAAAATGCAAAATCTTAACCCCTTTCTGGCACTTCCTGAACACTGGACTACTGGTGGCCGGATGGCCGAGCAGTCAAAGGTGGCAGCCTACCGCTCTGGGGGACCCGGGCTCGAATCCGGACGGGTCGAAAAATCCCCAGGAGTTTTTCGGGGGTGGTCCACTCGGATATGTCGAGCCCCGTCTCTCACCATCCGGCAGCCCCATTGTGGGCCTGGCCGAACCCAAAATGGGCTTGCAAAAAGAGGCCCTCTTAGTGCACAGGGCGGAAAGAGTAAAAACAAAAAAAAAAAAAAAACACTGGACTACTGTATTTCTCCAGAAGTTATTCAGTGCTCAGGAACCGGTTTGTCCCGGGTTCGCGCCTCATCAACCGGTTTTTTTCGTGTGTCGGACGCTTCAACAGAGGTCAGTTTTCCATAGAAAATTCTGCAGTAAGATGCCAAGTCTCACCTTAGCAGATTGCCACATGTTGATTTGTCGTATTTTCTCAAATCAAATCTTACTACACTAAAATCAATATATAGAATAAGTAAACAAATAAACAAACTGACTTCCAGCTTCATCTGAATATCAACTTATGCGCGATAAGAACAATACTATTTAACATTGTTGAAAACGGAGGTTTAAAGTCTCACCCGAATCTATAGTACACAGGATAAATTTACAAAACAATTTTCGTAAGATAATTTACAGACAGAAATCGTTAAATCATTGCCACGTATACAGTCGACCCCCTTATAACACGGTAGATACGTTCCGGTTTTTATGAAATCCATTTTCTACGAGTCCTTAAATACATGAGCCAATGACAGCCCGGCACGTATGCAGTTTACAGACTACGGTTGTTTAAAAGGTTTTCTTCCATAAAATTAATCGATTCTAGACTAATTCGACTCAACATTTCCAAAATACTGTACGTATAATTTTTTGGGAATAATCCATATATATCCATATCATCCATATATTGGGAATAATCCATAATCTATGCTATAAACAAAAAATTGTAGGATTACTTATCGAGCGTGCACCGTTCGACGACGCCATTGCTTAAGCTTGTTTTCGTCGTGGAGATTGTCATCGAATGGCGCTCGCGTGCTTCCTGATAAATTATTTTTTTTGCGAAAAATTCGCTGAACTTTAGAGACATCATTAATATAAATATAATTTTTATGGACGTTAAATAATAAATGGTTTCTAGTAGGTCCGCTGCTCGTTTAAACTCAACGGTTTGAGCAATATCCGCTATTGGTCTAGCTAGATTCGACCAATCCTGTCGCGACACGAGTCAGCGATGACGTTTTACTGAATTATACGAGTCTCTTTTAGCGTGTTTATACGAATACGGTGGCAATTTTTCGCCGTCATATAGGAATCCGAACTATATGAACCCGTTTTATAGGGAGTCTATTGTAGTGCAGTGAATTAGTTTTAACTTCATTGTCATTGATAATTCTATATCACCTTATCGAATATATAAAATAATAATTTTAAAAATGATCTTTTTATAGAAAATGAAACATTCCACTTTTAAATCATATCTAACTGTAATAAATGTATACAGTATATACTGTATTACTTTATTATTTATGTTTTTACGTTTTATTTTATTTATGAAAACATTTTTTTAATTTAAATACTATCTTAACAAGAAATAAAATGTGAGATAACAATCGAAATAAAAACTTTTTTCTACAAAAAAAATATCGTCTGTTTACAAAATAGCGAAACTGAGCATGCGCGAAGTGACAGTATCGTCTGGTAAAGTAAATACGAGTAAGTTCAAACTTTTATATTTATTTATTCGGAAAATAATAATAAATGTAGCCGCTGTGATAAATGGNGTATATCGCTATTAACCTACTTCGCGTTGAATTTTCATCGATGTTAAGCCTAACAAAAATTTTTTAAAATAATAATCGTCGCTATTGTATCGTTAAAAATTAGAAAATTAAGCCTCGTTTAAATACTGGCTCCCTTTCACGGTCGAATGAGTATTGCCAGCTAAAACACGTAAAAATAATGTTAAAGTAGCCAAGACAGCCAAATATTTTAGCGCCACATCACTAGCGGACATTTGAAATTTGCCGACTAGGACGATCGGTTAACCGAGGTGTCGGTTAATCGGGGGTCGGATAATCGAGGCTCTACTGTATTTGTTTAATTATTGTACGATTTAACGAATAAAATATCTAATTATTCTTAATACAATGTTTTACTATATCGTCCAGAAAATTGTTTTTCTCCCCCCAAAATATAAATTGTTACTAATCGCCCCCTGAACATGGAAAAACACCCACATGGGGGCGATATCGCCCCCGTTGAGAAACACTGCCCTACATAATACATTAAAAAACTTTCAAAATTGATTTCTCGCTTTTTCGTTTGCAAATCGGTCGATCACTTTCTTTAGATCAAGTTGATAAGCGATTGTTTTTTCAATTGATATAGACAGGGGCGGATCTAGGTTTTTCGAGGCATTGTGCTTATTGAAGTCCAACGGGAAACCATTTTTTATTACTACAGTAAACCCCTATAACACTGTTGCTAATTCCGTGTTATACGAATTCCATGTTGTACGAGTCACTTTGATTTTACAAATACTATGTGCCGGGCTGTGAACGGCTCACGTATTTGTAAAATCTAAGTGATTCGTACAACATGGAATTCATATAACACGGAATTATCAACAATGTTATAGGGGTCTACTATACAAATAACACTATAAATTATCATTATTATATTATTATTAATATTAACTATTTTTTACTATACGATAAATGCTCATTGTTAATGAAAAAGTATTAAGAATTTATGATAATTCAATTTTTGTGGGCCCGGGGCTTAAGCTCTATTAGTTTCTATGTAGATCCGCCCCTGGATATAGTAATCAGAGTTAAGACCTTTTAGTGTGACACGATGCTTCTTAAATAAGGTTTGATTAATTTTAGTTTTGCAAAACTTCTATGTCGTCGCCCGTAAAGTTAAAAAAATGAGGCATGCTGCAATAATGTCGGAAAACCTATTTGAGGCTGCGGTGTGAAATAAAAGTAGTTCAGCAACTTCGCTTATAGAAGTAATTTCTTTTACCTGACTACAAAAACACATTTTAAATCTAAGCAGTTGAGGTCCAAAACTAGACGAATATGCCGATTGTAACAATTCTGACTGTTTCAAAATATTTTTATCAGAAGCGCGACAAGATATGCAGGCGAAAAGCACTTGAAAAGTGTACATAATTGTCGAACTGATTCAAATCTAATAGTTAATTGATTAAATATTACATCCAAAAATTTTTCTACAAATGTTTTTACAAGTTTTTATTTTGCCCTTTATAACTTGGCGCCCTCATGATTCGTGCGCCTGGAGCAGTTTGATCCAACTGTTTCACGGTAGCTACGCCTCTGAGGCCTGTTATTTCCTTTCTGCACCCCCTCTGCAGATCTCTTGATCCTCTACTACAGGGGTGTCCAACCTTTTTGTTTTTCTGGGCCGCATTGAAAGAAGTCAAGGAGTTTTGGGCCACAAGTATATATAATATATACTTGTGGCCCAATATACAAGTATATTTAAAAATTAACATGTCTAGATTATAATAATAAGTATTAAAACTTTATCAAGAAAAAAGGATATTTTAAAAAATTACATCTAAAGACACTTTCAATTTTTACTTAGAAATAGATAAATTCATTTATTATAAAAGAGACTATAAAAAATTTATTTGAAAAACACAAATATTTGTTTTATTTGGGTATCTAATTAATAAAAAGCGATGAAACACCATTTTAAAGTGCATTTTTATTCAATTAATATAATTATAAATAATATGTAGCCGAAAAAAGTAGCCAAAGCGCCAAATGATATTTTTTACGTCAAGCAAAAAAAATGTAGCCACATTTGGCCCAATGTAGCAAAATCTTGCAACGTTGGAAGGAATACTAAATAAAGCAGGAGTTATGAATCAAAGGATTATAGACCCAAGTGCGGGGAAAAAGAGGCAAAGGACA